GAACGCTCCTGAGAGACTGTAACATTAATGACAGCGAGTGAAGCTCCACAGAAACACAAATCTACTGAACTGTGCATCATAAATACATTTGAAAATAAATTTTAAATGACAAGACAGTAAATCTGGTTAGCTGATGTGACAGGCTGTCGGAAACACTGGAGCTTCTCAGAGCAAATGCCCGCAGGAACATCTCCATCCTCCGTCAGCAGATGCAGTTTCTATATTTAGTGTGGAGTGAATCTGTGAAGCGAACATGAGCTCTACAGAATTATGGCAGTCATAATTATGAGATAAAGAGTCAAAATGATGACATAAAAAGTCAAAATTATGACATACTAAGTATTAGTGTCATAATTTCACATTTTGATCTCATAATTCTCATAAATGTGAATTATGACACTAATTCATAATTATGCTATAAAAAATCGGAATTATGAGATGAGTCAAAATTATGAAATACTAAATCATAATTATGAGGAAAAGGGTCAAAATAGTGACATACTAAGTCAATTATGAGATAAAAGTTTAATCCTATAATTATGATAAAAATGTGAAATTATGACACTAATTCATAATTATGATATAAAAAATTAAGAATTATGAGTAAAAATTGACATGCTAATACATAATTATGAGAAAGAATTTGTAAAGCGAATATGAGCTCTATAGAATTATGATAAAAAGATGTGTGTGCAGAGATAAAAAGGTCATAATTGTGATATAAAAAATCTGAATTATGAGATGTCAAAATTATGACATACTAATTATAATTATAACACTAATTATAATTATGAGCTAAAAATGAGCACATGACACTTATTCATAATTATGATATAATACAAATTAATTTAAAATTAAATCAAATAATACGCTGAATTATGAGATTAAAAAGTTATAATTAATACCCAATGTGGTTTTATGGTAAAAAAAAAAAAAAAAACCATTTTCTAACCTGTTCATGAGATGTCCAGCATCAGGAGAGGTCAGTCCGAACCGCTCCTGCTTTGGTACGGTTTCTTCATTCTCAGCTCCTATTATTAGTGGGGTACCTCAGGGTTCTATAGTGGGCCCGCTTCTTTTTAACTTATATATGCTTCTGCTTGGGTGTAATATTAGGAATTTTCGAATTTTCTTTGTTTCCCTGAAATTAAGAGGTGATATCAATGAGCTCGGTAATAATTTCCCTTCAATTTCATCTCAGGTAATAATTCTTGGTGGACTTAAAGTCCCCCGTGGTGAAAAACCAGCTTTTAATGTTGTTTAAACTTTATATGTCTATGTGGTGTTTTCAATATGCTTTTAGACAAACCATAAATTCATAAGTCGACAGCATTGCTGAGTATTTTCTCCTTAAAACTGCAGTGAATCAAAGACAGTCTCAAAAACACGGTTTGAAATCGCTGGTGTTTTTCTGAGATATTTTAAGCCATGAAGAAATTTTGCTAAAAAGGAAAAAATGCTTAAAAACATTATTTTGCTGATCAAAGATGAGTTTTAAGGGATAAAACTATTGACTACAGGAGGACTTTAAACAAATGTTGTTGTTAAGAATATTTATCAATTGCAAATTATTTCTAAACTTAAAACATTTATGTATTTTCAGGATTTCATAACTAGACTATTCTCTTTATTGTGGTCTTCCTCATACATCCCTTTCACACAATGGTTTTAAAATGCGGAAACAAGGGAGATTTGAGGGAATTTTCAATGAATTATGATTTTTGTCCGTTTCATACACAAAGTTAGAAATCAAATGTTTCAATATGAGTTGAAGATAATTGTGGTTTATATTACTTCTGGTTCAGTTCTATTAGAAATAGAAGGTCATGTGCATTTGGATTGGGATACAACTTTACTAATAGTGCAAGGAGAAATAGTGCAAATAATAAATCGCATGCGATTCTGCACAGAAATAATGAAACATGTGACACGTAACATTCTACTTAACGCTGTTTTATTTGGCAAAGAGGTTCATTACAACCGGCTGAAGGAAGAGAAACAGAAGAGACGTCAGCTGAGAAACTCACGATGACTTCAGTGTCAGATCTGACGGGTTTGCAGTACACGAGATCCAGGGGGCGGAGTTGGATCCAGATCTAAGGGGTGGAGATGGGTAGGATTAGGGGTGGGGTTAGGGATCAGGGGGTGGAGATGGGTAGGATTAGGGATCAGGGGGTGGAGATGGGTAGGATTGGGGTGGGGTTAGGGATCAGGGGGCGGAGATGGGTAGGATTGGGGTGGGGTTAGGGATCAGGGGGCGGAGATGGGTAGGATTAGGGGTGGGGCTAGGGTTCAGGGGGCGAAGATGGGTAGGTTTAGGTTTATGTAAGGTGGGAGGAGTTGGATCTGGATCCAACTCCTCCCCCTGGATTTCGTGTTCTGCAGTGAGGACCATCTCGGTTTCTCCAGTCCACTCGTGAGTTTCAGAGCCACAGGTTAAAGCTACAGGAGCGTTCGAGGTTAAAGCATCACTTCTCTCATTGGTACAAGCATTCAAAATCAGCATCTACTCGACTAAACAATCCTAAACCTTAGACATGTTGAGCAATCCATCACATATAAACATTTCAACATCCAGAATACAGAAGGGTTCATAAAGCAGCAAACAGAGATCGACCAGTTAAGCGACATTTCAGAGTCTGAGGCCTTTAACAATAACGCTTTAATATGTGGAAGCTCACTTTCAGAAGGGAATAATATAGAAACAAAGCTAATTGCGACTTTTTATCTCACAATTCTGACCTTTTTTCTTGGAATTCTGAGTTTATAATTCACAATGACAAAATATATATTCAGAATTAGTCGCAAGTCGCTTTTTTTCTTCTTTTTTTATTCCATGGCGAAACGAGCTTCCGTAAAAATCACTTCTGGAATTACTAAATGTATTTTCACGCTGGTGATCCATATACAAATTTGGAATTTTTCTTTGCAATCAACAATCTACTCGCTTTTAACTCTCAAATTTCTAACATTTTCTTTTTAATTCTACAGAAAGAGAGAAGAAATCAAATTGTAAAAAGACTTAATGTAATCAAAAGAACAGCGACAATATGAATATAAGAATAACATTAAAAAGAACAATCGTACATCTATTTTGGCAATATTTCCCAAATCAAGCAGAAAAAGAACTTTTCATCGTGGGAAAATGAATCAAAGGAAAGTTCTACACGAGAACAGAAGTTTCTCCACTTGTGTCCGTCTTAAATTTGGCCTCGGTTTCTAATCTTGTTGCTTTATTTGAGTTTTTACATTTTGGTTTCATTGCGTTTGTTCTGGACAACAAGAATCAGAGGCCTAAAGGGTTAAAGACTTTGTGTGGATCTACAATGTGTTATTTTGGCAACTATTCGAACAGTGAAGAGCAGTTCACGCGTGTGTTAACCCGGTTAGTTCACACACACACACACACACACTTATCAAGCTGGTTTGGGGTTTGTTCATGTGCTTTAGAGGAAGAACCGAGGTATTTGGTCTCATAAACACGATCGCTAACCGTTATTTGGCAAGTTCAGCTTCAACATTACAAAGAAAGAAGCAGATCTTATTTTCTGGTTTCAACATATGAAAATATATTCGATATCTGCTAGTCGTTATTAGTTATAATTTCTAGAATAGAATCTGTCTTTGAGGTAATCATCATCATGAGCTACTGAGTGACGTCAGTGTCTGGAGAGCTTTGGTTAATGGTCAGTTTCTGGTTAATCACCATCAGTTATGAAAACCCATTTCAAAAAGTCAAGCTTTCGTATTTTATAGTTATGACATTAAAACGCATAATTATGACATATTAAGCCAATAATTATGAGATAAAAAGTCAAAACTATGACAAAGTTAAAGTCATAATTATGAGATAAAAAGTTGAAATGATGACACTAAATCATAATTATGAGATAAGTCAAAATTATGTCATATACCAATTCATAATTCAGAGAAAAATTCTAAACTATGACATAAAACGTACTAATTATGACATACTAATGCATAACTGAGATTAGAATATATGACGACTTAGTATGTCAATTTAATTGTATTAAAAAGTCGGAATTATTACATACTAAGTTATAATTATGAGATAAAAAAAATCAACTTTTTTTCAGTGTTAAAACTTGAAACTGTAAAAAAAGGTTGCTTTTTAATCTCAATTTAAAAAAAAAACACCTCATATCTATGAGTTAGCACATAATATTTGTACTTATCTCAGAATTTTGCCTTTTATGTCATAATTATGATTCACCAAAGCATGTGTGTGGGAAACGGGCTTCGGTAACCAGACCAGCAGGACTGAGAGGAACCAGTGTTTGTGGATCCCTGTGGAGAAAGGGAGGAGAAGCAGATCTTTGGACGTTCCTCAGCTTTCACAGAAGCTTCTTCTGCCGCTTCAACACACACACACACACACACACACATCTGAGGAAGAGTCTCGTAACGCGTCACACGTCCCGGCGGAGGTCAAACTCTCACTGGCATCGGCTCGGACCCGAGGAGGACCCGTTTGAAGACGCCCGTGGTTGAGGTAGAAGGTTTTCCCAGGCTCTTTGGGTGGAGTGGGAGGGGCTTAGGGAAGGGGGCGGAGTCTCCAGCTGCACACAGGCTAATGCGGCGAATAATCAATGAGCAATCACACGACACACACACTCATTACATCCACACACTAACTATTCATCTGTTCAGTCACACAGAACACACATTTTTGGTTTAACAGGAAGAAGTTCAATTTGTTATTCTAGTAGAAGCGTCACGTTAGTGACATTAACTAAGTTTGAGGTTTGTTTCCTTTGACTAATATCTGAATGAGAGTTTAAACGGAGCTCTGATGAGGTTTAAGTCGACAGACGGTTCTGTTCCAATCCCACACTGAACATCTGAACATCTGAACATCTGAACATCTGTGTGTCGTCCGTCATCAGAGGCACTAAACGGATGTTGTGTGTGACTGAGTTCAGTTGTGTAAGGCTTTGGTGAGAGAGACTCGGTCACTGTGCAGCTGGACGGGGGGGTCTTCATCCGGTGCCAGTTCCGGTACCAGTTACGATGCCAGTGCCAGTTCCGGTACCAGTTCCAGTGCCAGTGTGTGTTCCAGTGCCAGTTCCAGTGCCAGTTCCAGTGTCTGTTCCAGTGCCAGTGCCGGTTCCGGTTCCGGTTCCGGTTCTAGTTCCAGTGCCAGTGCCAGTTCCAGTTCCAGTTCCAGTGCCAGTTCCGGTTCCAGTGCCAGTGTCTGCCGGGCTGAGAGGTTGTGGTTCGATCATCACCTGACACTGAGGAGCCGCTGCCTGACGCTCGACCCCAGCCTGAGGAACACCAGAGTTCATTACATATGAGATTCAATGACATATGAGTGTGTTTGTGTGTTTTATTCTAAAATGCTTTTTCTCTATAATAAATCTATTCTTTCAGCTTAGGTTCGGTAGTTTAGGTTAGTACAGTTGGCATTTGTACGGGGCTTTGGATCTGCTGAATGAATAACTGTAGTCTCTGTCTTTACTGTACACACACCTTTACTGTACACACACCTTTACTGTACACACACCTATGCTGTACACACACCTATACTGTACACACACCTTTACTGTACACACAGCTTTACTGTACACACACCTTTACTGTACACACACCTATGCTGTACACACACCTTTACTGTACACACACCTATGCTGTACACACACCTTTACTGTACATACACCTATGCTGTACACACACACCTATGCTGTACACACACCTTTACTGTACACACACCTATGCTGTACACACACCTTTACTGTACACACACCTATGCTGTACACACACCTTTACTGTACACACACCTATGCTGTACACACACCTTTACTGTACACACACCTATGCTGTACACACACCTTTACTGTACACACACCTATGCTGTACACACACCTTTACTGTACACACACCTATGCTGTACACACACCTTTACTGTACACACACCTTTACTGTACACACACCTTTACTGTACACACACACCTATGCTGTACACACACCTTTACTGTACACACACCTATGCTGTACACACACCTTTACTGTACACACACCTATGCTGTACACACACCTTTACTGTACACACACCTATGCTGTACACACACCTTTACTGTACACACACCTATGCTGTACACACACCTTTACTGTACACACACCTATGCTGTACACACACCTTTACTGTACACACACCTATGCTGTACACACACCTTTACTGTACACACACCTTTACTGTACACACACCTTTACTGTACACACACACCTATGCTGTACACACACCTTTACTGTACACACACACCTATGCTGTACACACACCTTTACTGTACACACACACCTTTACTGTACACACACCTTTACTGTACACACACCTTTACTGTACACACACCTATGCTGTACACACACCTTTACTGTACACACACCTTTACTGTACACACACCTTTACTGTACACACACCTATGCTGTACACACACCTATGCTGTACACACACCTATGCTGTACACACCTTTACTGTACACACACCTTTACTGTACACACACCTTTACTGTACATACACCTATGCTGTACACACACACCTATGCTGTACACACACACTCAGCTGGTGTTGATCATGGTGATGTGTTTACCTGTGGCATGAGCTCGATGGCGTCAGTCGTGCGGATCGTGGCGTCTTTAGCAGCGCTTTGACCTCCTGACAGACTCCAGTTACCCGGAGAACCTTTCTGACAGAAGAAACTACACACACACACACACACACACACACACACACAGTCAGAACACTGTGGCAGAAAATCCCAGTTACAATATTGCATTACTCCCCAAAAAAGTAACTAACTGAAATTGAATTAGTAATGTGTTACTTTACTAGTTGTGTGAAAAAGAGATCTGATTCCTAACTCAAGTCACTTGTAATGAGTTCCACACACACCAGCTGTGAGTGTGTGACGGCATCAGACCGGACGCACCTGTGCCGGTACCCGAACATCAGGAAGAGCGCGCAGAAGATGATGCAGGCCATGCTGATGTGGATCCCGATCACCAGTCCTGTGATGGAGCTCTCGCTGTCCTGACGACAGTTACAGACACTCTGTCCTGCTGACCACACACACACACACACACACACTCCTTCAGCTGTACAGTACATCATCTGCCGGCTACGGTTTTATAAAGATAGCATGCAAAATTATAAACATTTCAGAAGCACGAGTACGAAACATCTATGGCTGCATGATGTCGCAGATTTCCGTTCAGTCATCTCAGTTTTACATTTTAAAACCAATTATCTGTAAAAATGTCTCAGTTTGGTCAAACACGAAAGGTCGAGTCAAGCGCTTTGCATTGTGGGATACAGTAGTCGGTTTACAATGTGTTCTGTTGTGGTTGGACTGTTAAAAACGTATAAGTTAAGGTTATTTCACAATACATATTGTTTCAAAAGCAGTATTTCTTATTCTAAAATGCTATTTTATCTACTAGATCATGATTATTTTAAAAATGCTAGTTTATTAAATATAATGCTAAGAGTTTTTTTTTATTCTAAAATGTTTTTCTATAATGAAAATGCAGTAGATCGTCTGAAGAGAAGTGTATGGATGAGCAGGAGACTTGTGGAATGCCAAAGCTGACATAATAATAAATAAATAAATAAATATACAAAGATATAAATAAATGTAGACATAAATACATATACACATTAATAATTGTGAAAATAAATACATCAAATGAAACAATAAATGTGAAAAAAAAATACAATTATACATAAATACGGAAATAAAAGTATAAATACTCATTTATTTGTATTTTTATTTATTTATATATTTTATTCATATATTTATGCATGTATTTATGTATTATTATTATTATTAATATTATTATTATGTCAGCTTTGGCATTCCATAGACACCGACTGTGAACACACTGACGCTCTGCCTCCATCTAGTGTGTGTGACGTCACACTGCAAGAGGTTGAGATTTCCACTTCAGAACTTCTACTAGCCGAAGGAAATATATCAGAAATGTCCAGATGATCAGTCACAGCTTACATTTAAAATATCAAATGCAAATACTCAGTATGTCGCTTTCATTAGTGTGGATGAAACATTTACATGATTTTACCCACATTTGACATGTTCATTTCAAACCCTGAATATGAAGCATCACCTGCTGCATCTTTCCCACTCTTTTCAGTCTCAGCCAATGAGACGAGTCGCTTGTTGCCGATGCTGTCACCATTCCCATTAAAGGCAATGAGCTGGATCTCATACACCGCTGCGGCTTCTGCAACACACACACATACGGATGGTGAGACACTGCTGCTCTTGTGCATGCGTGAGTGTGTGTGAATGCGTGAGTGTGTGTACGCATGCGTGAGTGAATGAGTGTGTGTGTGTGTGTTTGTGTGTGTGTGTTTGTGTGTGTGTGTGTGTGTGTATGCATGCGTGAGTGAGTGTGTGTATGCATGCGTGAATGAGTGTGTGTGTGTATGCATGCGTGAGTGAGTGTGTGCATGAGTGTGTATGTATGCATCAGTGTGTGTATGCATGGGTGAGTGCGTGAGTGAGTATGCATGCTTGAGTGTGTGCATGCGAGAGTGTGTGTATAAGTGAGTGAGTGCGTGAGTGAGTATGCATGCTTGAGTGTGTGCGTGCGCGAGTGTGTGTATGCATGCATGTGTCAGTGTGTGTATGTATGCGTGAGTGAGTGCATGCATGCGTGAGTGTGTATGCATGCATGAGTGAGTGTATGCCCGTCTGCGTGTGTGTATGCATGCGTGAGTGGAGCGTGATTGAGTGTGTGTATGCATGCATGTGTCAGTGTGTGTATGTATGCGTGAGTGTGTATGCATGCGGGAGTGAGTGTATGCGTGTGTGCGTGTGTGTATGCATGAGTGAGTGGAGCGTGAGTGAGTGTGTGCATGCATGTGTGTGCACTGACCCAGGTTAGAGATGGTGTGTGTGTTTATCTGTGCAGGAAAACGCTCCTCATGTCCAAACTCTTGTTGCGGCAGCATTCGATGAGACAGTTTATACCCCTCCACTCGCCCTGCTTTAGCGGGCAGATCCCAGAACACCTGCATCGCTGTGCTGTTCAGAACCTTCGTCAAGAAACTCGGCATTGTGGGAACTGAGAGACAGAATTAGTGCATGTGATTAGTAAGTGTGCAGAACAAGTATTACCATAGCAGGGTAAACTGAGTAAATACTATAGTACAGCGGTTCTTTTGTTTTCTGACTTGAAGGCCCTATGTCATCCAACACAGTTCACAGAACGCACACACTCACGCACACATACACTCACTCACGCATGCATACACTCACTCACGCATGCATACACTCACTCACGCATGCATACACTCACTCACGCATGCATACACTCACTCACGCATGCATACACTCACTCACGCATGCATACACTCACTCACGCATGCATACACTCACTCACGCATGCATACACTCACTCACGCATGCATACTCACTCACGCATGCATACACTCACTCACGCATGCATACACTCACTCACGCATGCATACACTCACTCACGCATGCAAACACTCACTCACGCATGCATACACTCACTCACGCATGCATACACTCACTCACGCATGCATACACTCACTCACGCATGCATACACTCACTCATGCATGCATACACTCACTCACGCATGCATACACTCACTCACGCATGCATACACTCACTCACGCATGCATACACTCACTCACGCATGCATACTCACTCACGCATGCATACACTCACTCACGCATGCAAACACTCACTCACGCATGCATACACTCACTCACGCATGCATACACTCACTCACGCATGCATACACTCACTCACGCATGCATACACTCACTCACGCATACATTCACTCACGCATGCATACACTCACTCACGCATACACTCACTCACGCATGCATACTCACTCACGCATGCATACACTCACTCACGCATGCATACACTCACTCACGCATACATTCACTCACGCATGCATACACTCACTCACGCATACACTCACTCACGCATGCATACTCACTCACGCATGCATACACTCACTCACGCATGCAAACACTCACTCACGCATGCATACACTCACTCACGCATGCATACACTCACTCACTCACGCATGCATACACTCACTCACTCACGCATGCATACACTCACTCACTCACGCATGCATACACTCACTCACGCATGCATACACTCACTCACGCATGCATACACTCACTCACGCATGCGTACACTCACTCACGCATACACTCACTCACGCATGCATACACTCACTCACGCATACACTCACTCACGCATGCATACTCACTCACGCATGCATACTCACTCACGCATGCATACACTCACTCACGCATGCAAACACTCACTCACGCATGCATACACTCACTCACGCATGCATACACTCACTCACGCATGCATACACTCACTCACGCATGCATACACTCACTCACGCATGCATACACTCACGCATGCATACACTCACTCACGCATGCATACACTCACTCACGCATGCATACACTCACTCACGCATGCAAACACTCACTCACGCATGCAAACACTCACTCACGCATGCATACACTCACTCACGCATGCATACACTCACTCACGCATGCATACACTCAGTCACGCACACATACACTCAGTCATGCACGCAAACACTGTCACGCATGCATACACTCACTCACGCATGCATACACTCACTCACGCATGCATACACTCACTTACGCATGCATACACTCAGTCACGCACGCATGCATACACTCACTCACGCATGCATACACTCAGTCACGCACGCATACACTCAGTCACGCATGCATACACTCACTCACGCATGCATACACTCAGTCACGCACGCATACACTCACTCACGCACGCATACACTCAGTCACGCACGCATACACTCAGTCACGCACACATACACTCAGTCACGCACGCATACACTCAGTCACGCACACATACACTCAGTCACGCATGCATACACTCAGTCACGCACGCATACACTCAGTCACGCACGCATACACTCAGTCACGCACGCATACACTCAGTCACGCACACATACACTCAGTCACGCACGCAAACACTGTCACGCATGCATACACTCACTCACGCATGCATACACTCACTCACGCATGCATACATTCACTCACGCATGCATACACTCACTTACGCATGCACTCACTCACGCATGCATACACTCACTCACGCATGCATACACTCACTCACGCATGCATACACTCACTCACGCATGCATACACTCATTCATGCATGCATACACTCACTCACGCACGCATACACTTACTCACACATGCATACACTCACTCACGCATGCATACACTCACTCACGCATGCATACACTCACTCACACATGCATACACTCACTCACGCATGCATACACTCAGTCACGCACGCATGCATACACTCACTCACGCATGCATAGACTCACTCACGCATGCATACACTCACTCACGCATGCATACACTCACTCACGCATGCATACACTCACTCACTCACGCATGCATACACTCACTCACGCATGCATACACTCACTCATGCATGCAAACACTAAGTCACACATGCAAACACTCACGCATGCATATGGCGTTCAATCATCTGTCAGTCGTGTGTGTGTGTGTGTGTAAACTCTTACCGGCCCCATGTGTGGTGGCGATGACGCTTCTCGACTGCTGACTGGCTCCTAGTGGTGAATACGCTTTGACGTAGATGGAGAAGGTGGTGGAGGCTTCCAGGTTAGTGAAGTCGTGCTGAAACGTGTCTTTGCTCACGGCTTCCTGAAGCTCGCTGCTGTCCGGCTCTGAAAACACACACGCATCATTCATCAGTTTAGATCCTCAACCGTCTGATAAACGCAGCTCTCGGTTGGTTTCTCATCTCACCGCCCAGTTTGCGTATATGCAGCACGTATCCGATGATGCCGTCTGTGACGCGTGGCTCCGGCTGCTTCCAGCGGATCCGCAGGGAACTGGTGGACAGTGGTGTGGCCGTCAGGTCCTGAGGGGCTTCTGGGAACTGGGCGGACTGGGAGACGGCGAGGCGAGCGCTGGCCTGGTTGGTTCCTGCGCTGTTCTCCGCGATACACTGATAGATGGCCTCGTCTTCAGCCGTGATGCGCGTCACAGCCAGAGTACTGCAGGTCAAGGGCACAATCATTACAACTATTCATACTTCAATGAGCTCTTTGTTTCTGCCTTTAATTATTATATTGTTAAAATTAATACATTTTTAGCTAACTGTGATTTTGTATATGTACATTTCTGAAATACATAACTCAGTCAGTCTCCTCTGATAACAGATGTACACTGTAATGTGGACTCATGCACTTTCTGTAAAGCTGCTGTGAATGATGTGTGTTACAAATAAATGTGAATTGAATTGAATCAAGACACACTCATTTTCATTGACATCTTTATCCCCGTGAGGCTCTAAACGATGAACATGATCTGATAAACCTGCCAATCTCCTGCAGTGCTTCCGTCTCTGATTGATCGTTTTCACTCTTTTATCCAGTAAAAGTCTTTTAGTTTAATTGTACAAGCGTCCTCCTTCAGCTCGAGCTTCACGAGTCGTTCTGTGTCAAATCTGCTCTGATTTTATCAAGGAATAACTTTGATATTGTTAGTAATATTTCAGCTGGACTGAAGCAGCTTTACTTGATTATCATCATCATTTATTATAAAAATCATGAGTAGCAAATATGATCATCAGGCTTTTGAGGAAGGTTTATCTGTTCTTCCCTCTATCATCAGTGTTTTGCATTGCATTATTGTTTAAAAACTACAGATCATAAAACTAAGCTTTTAAATATCATCTTACTAAGACATTATTGGCAGATATTGATATTAATATGCATTTTATGTCAGTATCTGCTGTGCTGTTATAAAAATATCATTGATTTACATTAAAAGCATCATAAATATTAGCATCTGCATCAAACTGAGCTCAATATTCTCACTATATCAGACTATATGAGCCATAAAAGCCTGATGGATCAAACAAAACACATGAACACATTTTTATATTCCATCTAAAGGTTCAATAAAGTGTTCAATTTGAAAACATGTCATTTTTCGGAGTATTCTTCCACATGTCGGCTGCTCACCTGTTGTTGTTGGTGAGTTTGACGTTTTCTCCAGGCGTGAGAATCTTGCCGTTCTTCAGCCAGATGAGGTGCGGATCGGGAACACCTTGAGCCTGACAGGTGAAGACGACACTCGAACCCGCCGGCTTCGACACCGACTGAGGCCACTGCAGGAACTCTGGAGGAGCTGACCCAGCAAACACACATCGACCAATCAGAGAGAGCTGATGTTCTGATGCACACCTGATATATTAACCTCACTCACTCACTCACTCACTCACTCACTCACTCACTCACTCACTCACTCACTCACTCACTCACTCACTCACTCACTCACTGCCGCCACCCCCCCCCCCCCCCCCCACCCCACACACACACACACACACACACACACACACACACACACACACACACACACACACACACACACACACACACACACACACACACACACACACACACACACACACACACACACACACTCTTAGATCTACATTCAATCAATCAGATTCACTGAATCATGTTTCCAGCATGTGAATTTTACAAAATGTATTTTTATGTCTGTCAAAGTTAATTCATACATTAACGTGTAAGACAATAATGAAATATATTATTTATTTTTTTACACATTCTCTAAATGTAATAATATTTAATTCTGACTGGCCAGAAATCATGGAATTAATTGCATTAATTTTTTTTCTTTTCATCATTTGTTCTTTTTCTAAATATTTTTCTATAATAAGTACAGCTAATATTTTAACAGTTTGTTTTAGTATAATGAGAAAGCCATTTATTTAATTTTGAAAATGATGATATGATATTATATCATGATTAGGGCTGTCAAATGATTAATCACGATTAATCACATCCAAAATAAAAGTTTTTTTTACATAATATATGTGGGTGCACTGTGTATAATTATTTTGTATATATAAATACACACACATGCATGTATATTTAAGAAAAAAATATGATTTATATATAAAATATTTATATTTATATATAATATAAATTATATATAAATCTATATACAGAATATACATGAAAATATTTCTTAAATATATACAAGCATGTGTGTGTATTTATATATATAAAATAATTATACACAGTGCACCCACATATATTATGTAAAAAAAACTTTTATTTTGGATGTGATTAATCACGATTAATCATTTGACAGCCCTAATCATGATATTAAACGATAACTTTATTGTGTTGTCTTTATAATATAATATCATATTGAATATTTTTCCTCACACTGATTTGTGTTTATATGTCCACAAGGGATCATCATATCTGCGAGACGTTTGTGTAAACAGTGTTTTCTGTCCTAAACCCCCCAGTCCTCTCTCTAGACCACAACCCCCACCGTACGCATCATTTCCTGGAGGCCTGCTGGAATGAGGTCAGGGGTCAGAGGTCAGAGGTGATCCGTCACTCACACACATTTATTCCTCCCCCTCCGCCTCGCTTTCTTCTATTATCCATCTGTCCATCCACTCAAATACAACACACAACAACACTGTACAATCCTCTACAGTCTGTGTGTTTGTTACATCTGTCGGTCT